GGTACACATGGATAACATCATATCGTGAACAATGTCCAGCAGCATCATTCACAACAGCCAAAATGTGAAAACAACCCAGGTATCTATCACAGATGAATGGATAAACTAAATGTGGTATATACATATAATGGAATGTTATTCAGCCTTAAAAGCAAGGAAATTCTGACACATGCTACAGACAACATGGATAAACCTTGAGGACATTATGTTAAGTGGTGATAGTTGCATAACAATATGAATATTGTTATATTCACTGAACTGTATACTTAAAATGGTTAAGATGGTAAATTTTATATGTATTTTACCACAATTTAAAAAAATAATTTAAAACATCTTTACACACACACGAACTACCTGTTTTGATTACATACTTTAGCTCTCTATAGAAATGAATTCATAGACCAATGATTTAATACTATATTTTTGGATTTTTAACAAGCCAGTATAAGAAAGTGATTTGAAGACAATTTCTACATCTTATGTTTATGGGAGTTACATAATTCAATGTATGGCTATTGGTGACAATGTACATTGTACTGCTAAATGTCCAAGTGATACATGCTCCCTTGACTTTAGTTCTAGGTAAGTTTGCTTTCATGGTGAATTGCTGCCTGCTTGCTTTATGAGATAACAAGGAATCTATTTACCTTTCTGCTTTGACTGTCAGGAACTGAGAGCCTCCTTTTATGCTAAATTGTAGTGATTAGCTGATCAAACAGTATTTCCCTGGAGAATCATTAACCATCATTAAATAAATAAATTCCTTTTCCTACTCACTTTGAGCACCATGAAAGAAGTGACTTGGTTGGAGTTCGGTCAGTGTCTGAAATTCAGACTGCTGGATTTTGTGACTTTAAACCATGTTTCTCTGTCCATGATGCCTTGACAATGTGGCTGTTCCTCTCATACCCCATTTCTGGAGAAATGTGGTACGAGGTTCCTCCAAGGTCTTTCCAAATGCATTTGACACATGCCACATTGCCTGTGTTTTAAATCAGATCATCACAATTATATCTTCCAAATTTTGTTTTAAAATATCCATCCAGATGTTTTCTAGTGGTAAAGTATTAGACACAATCAAAAATTTTATTTTATTTTATTGATATGGGCAACACTCACCAGGGTTCCAAATTTTGGCACTATCTTTTAAGTCTTTTTTTTTTCCCTTGAATATCCAATCAGCTGTCAATTTCTATAGTTTCTGTCTTTACAATTATTTTTACATCTGATTCTTCCTTTCTGATCTTAATGTCACACTCTCCTATCTTCCTTTTTCAGGTCTTTGTAATTACCCACTACCTGGATTATTACAATCTCCTTCCAACAGGATTCCCTCTCATACCTCTCCACTGGGCAGTCAGTTCCCTGTGTTGTTGCCAGATCCATCTTGCCAAAGCAGAACTGTTATCTTCACTCTTGACATTTATAGAGTGTGACCTTGTGACCTTTTCTCTTCCTCTTTTTTTCTTGACCAATGGGGATGTTGTCTCCTTCTTGCTGTTGGGTGAGGGGAGTTCTTCGCCTTATATGGTTAGGCCCAGATATGTCGTGGGCCCAGAGTCCTCTAGGGAAGGGGGGGCCCAAACTGTAATGTCCTATAATGTGCCCTGTGTTGTTTGTTGTGTTTCTTGTGACACTTGTGGTTATCCTTATCTTGTTATTGTTATAATATGCTCTCTTACTCAGCATCCCATTTATTTACACTATTTGTTTTCATATTTCTTCTACTCATATGTCACTTTTCTACTTATGCTAACATTCCCTGACACTTGTGGTTAGCCTTATCTTGTTATTATTACACTATGTTCTTTTACTCAGCATCTGGTTTGTTCACACTGCCAGTTCCATACTTCCTCTGCTCGTGTCTTCACTTTCCTACCTATGATAACACAGGCACAGCCCAGGCCCAGCCAAATTGAAATATGCACTGTCCCAGCACCATGTGCTGCATTTTCTCACCTTAATGCTTTGGTTCATGTTAGGTTTTGGTGAAAAGTGCTTCTACCCACCCTAACCTCAATCTCTGCCAGTCAGAAATACTACCCATCCTTTATATGCCACCTCCATAATTAAATTTTTCTTGATTCTTTCCCAAGCTATGATCTCTCCCACAATTTTTTTTTTTATTTCAGCATACTACAGGGGTACAAATATTTAGGTTACGTATATTGCCTTTGCCCCACCCAGGTCAGAGCTTCAAGCGTGTCCATCCCCCAGATGGTGCGCACTGCACCCCTTAGGTGTGTGTATACCCATCCCCTTCTCCCCACTCCCATCTGACCAACACCAGATGAAAGTTATTACTGTATGTGCACTTAAGTGTTCATCAGTTAATACCAATTTGCTAGTGAGTACATGTGGTGCTTATTTATCCATTCTTGGGATACTTCACTTAGTAGAATGGGTTCCAGCTCTATCCAGGATAATACAAAAGGTGCTATATCAC